CAAGGCGCGTTGGTCGAAAAAGGCGCCCATGGCAGGGTTCTTCTTCACAGTACCTAGTAGCTGTTCAAGAATACCCCGGGGAAGCCCTTCAAAAACATTATGCCTCCATCACCCTGCCCTCTTTGTGAAAGGAGGCGGAGCACTGTGCTGAGGAGTGGGGGTTCCTGGGTGTGGGGGAGACCAGAGCCTCGGCAGCGGTCTGTGTGATGCAGTGGTGACTCTGTGTGACTAATACTCTCTGACTCTAAACCCTAAACCCGAAACCCGAAACCCTAAACCCGAAACCCGAAACCCTAAACCCGAAACCCTAAAACCCTAAACCCTAAACCCTAAACCCTAAACCCTCAACCCTCAACCCTCAACCCTCAACCCTCAACCCTAAACCCTAAACCCTAAACCCTAAACCTCTCCTACTTATATATATATATATATATATATATATTTATTTATATTTAAATGTTAAACCCCTTCGTCGGCAAGGCACAGGTCCTTCGTCGGCAAGGCACAGGTCCTTCGTCGGCAAGGGTTCTATGTCTAGGGTTCAGGGTCTTCACTGGTTTTGTGCCTTGCCGACGAAGGTCTTGTGCCTTGCCGACGAAGGTCATTAACATTTAGGCTTAAATGTTAAACCCCTTCGTCGGCAAGGCACAAGACTTTCGTCGGCAAGGCACAAGACCCTTCGTCGGCAAGGCACAAGACCTTCGTCGGCAAGGCACAAGACCTTCGTGCAAGGCACGAGTCTTATGTCTAGGGTTTAGATTTTCGCAGTTTATTTTTTGAGTTTTATGTCTAGGGTTTAGGATTTTCGCAGTTTGCTTTAAGTCTTATGTCTTCGGGTTGAAGTTCAAGGGAGGGTTGGGGAAGAATCATGTTCACAGTTTTCTTCGGCAACTTTTATGTCCAGGGTTTAGGATTTTCACAGTTTTTTCGAGTTTTATGTCTAGGGTTTAGGATTTTCACAGTTTTTTCCTCCGAGTTTTATGTCTAGGGTTTAGGATTTTCGCAGTTTTTTTTCCGAGTTTTATGTCTAGGGTTTAGGATTTTCACATTTTTTCTCCAAGTAAAATGTCTAGGGTTTAGGATTTTCACAGTTTTTTCCGGCAAGTTTCATGTCTAGGGTTTAGGATTTTCACATTTTTTCCTTGAGAATGGAGCCGCTTGAGAAGAAGGAGGTTGGGTATTTTCCTAATGGTGTGGGACCCAATGGGCGGGTGGGCATTTTCCCTGTGGCCTCGCAAAGCTGCTCAACTAGTGAATGCTTGGACCAGAGATGCTGAACCCTAAACCCTAAACCCTAAACCCTGAACCCTAAACCCTAAACCCTAAACCCTAAACCCGAAACCCGAAACCCGAAACCCTAAACCCTAAACCCTAAACCCTAAACCCTAAACCCTAAACCCTAAACCCTCAACCCTAAACCCTAAACCCTAAACCCTAAAAACCCTAACCCAAAACTCTAAACCCTAAACCCTAAACCCTAAACCCTAAAACCAAACCCCAAACCCATAAACCCAAGGCCCTAAGGCCCTAAGCCTATAAGGCCCTAAACCCTAAACCTAAACCCTACCCTAAGCCCTAGCCAAAACCCCGATACCCAAACCCTAAACCCTAAACCCTTAATATTAATATATAAATAAACCAACCAAGAAACAAAAAAAAAGAGATGGGTGGCAAGGAGCAATTGGAGGGGGAACGGTCAGGACTGCGGGCCGTCCGGCCCGGAAACCTTGAAAAGAGATGCGCTCCCCAAAACTCGAAAACGGCCTTTTTCGGGCAAGAAAGAAGGGCCTCCAAAACCGGAACACCCATAAACACTGCTAGATCCCTTGGAGGGAAATTCGAAGAGGAAAGGCTTTTTTAAATTCTGCTCCGCGCTGCGGAAGGTACCCACGAGGCACACAAAATAGGGAACTTCGAAGAGGAAAGTCTTTTTGAACTTGCTTGCTCTGCGGAAAGGCCCCAAGATGTACACAGAACAGGGAACTTCGAAGAAGAAAGGCTTTTTGAACTTGCTTGTTCTGCACAAAATAGGGAACTTCGAAGAGGAAAGTCTTTTTGAACTTGCTTGCTCTGCGGAAAGGGCCCGCGATGCACACAGAATAGGTAACTTCGAAGAGGAAAGGTTTTTTGAACTTGCTTCTCTGCACAAAATAGGGAACTTCGAAGGGGAAGGTCTTTTTGAATTTGCTTGCTCTGCGGAAAGGCCCCAAGATGTACACAGAACAGGGAACTTCGAAGAAGAAAGGCTTTTTGAACTTGCTTGTTCTGCACAAAATAGGGAACTTCGAAGAGGAAAGTCTTTTTGAACTTGCTTGCTCTGCGGAAAGGGCCCGCGATGCACACAGAATAGGTAACTTCGAAGAGGAAAGGTTTTTTGAACTTGCTTCTCTGCACAAAATAGGGAACTTCGAAGGGGAAGGTCTTTTTGAATTTGCTTGCTCTGCGGAAAGGCCCCAAGATGTACACAGAACAGGGAACTTCGAAGAAGAAAGGCTTTTTGAACTTGCTTGTTCTGCACAAAATAGGGAACTTCGAAGAGGAAAGTCTTTTTGAACTTGCTTGCTCTGCGGAAAGGGCCCGCGATGCACACAGAATAGGTAACTTCGAAGAGGAAAGGTTTTTTGAACTTGCTTCTCTGCACAAAATAGGGAACTTCGAAGGGGAAGGTCTTTTTGAATTTGCTTGCTCTGCGGAAAGGCCCCAAGATGTACACAGAACAGGGAACTTCGAAGAAGAAAGGCTTTTTGAACTTGCTTGTTCTGCACAAAATAGGGAACTTCGAAGAGGAAAGTCTTTTTGAACTTGCTTGCTCTGCGGAAAGGCCCCACCCCACGATGCACACAGAATAGGGAACTTCGAAGAGGAAAGGCTGTTTTGGAACTTGCTTGCTCTGCGGTGGCCCCTGTATTCTTTTTTCATTCAAAAATATGAGTTTCTGCAAAGCGTGTTGTTTGGGGTTGTTGTGAAGGGCGCAGAGGGACCCTTCGAGCTCGTGGAGTCCGGGGCGTCCCGTTTCAGCTATATAACATCAGTTTGAAATGGGACGCCCCGGGCCATGCCGCGATGTGGTCAGAGCTGCTCTGACCAAATAGCTCGCGCTAAGTAAACTGAAATGCTTTTCCCTTCGTGGGACTCATATTTGTTGAGCAAATAGCTCGCGCGAGATAAATTGAGATGTTTGGGCGCAGTCGGAGTGCTTAGAACCCTTCTTCGCCCTTCACGAAACGTGAATTGAGATGTTTGGGCCGACTCCACGGGCTTCTTTTGCTTTGATCGGGTCTCTTGGGCGTTGTGGGGGAATTTGATGTAAAACAGAACTTTGGCTACACCCTAAAACCTAAACCCTAAACTGCACTAAGCCCTCAACCCTCAACCCTAAACCCTCAACCCCAAACCTTAAGCCCTCAACTCCAAAAGCCCCACCCCAAACCCTAAACCCTAAACCCCCTAAACCCTGAACCCGAAACCCTAAAGTCACCCCAAATGGGGCCCACCGAGGAGACCTCGCGCCCAAGGCGGCCAAGAGCCTTGCTCCGCAGATTTCAGCCCCCTACAAGGTTTCGGGTTTCGGGTTTAGGGTTTCGGGTTTAGGGTTTAGGGTTTACGGTTTGGGGTGTAGATGGTTTAGGGTTTAGGGTTGAGGGCTTCAGGACCCTGAAGGCCCTGAAGGCCCTGAAGCCCCTACCCTCAAACCCCTAAAAGCCCGAAAGCCGTATAAGCCCCCAAAACCTTACAAACCCTAGAGTCTGGTCCAGGCGCTTCCGGCTGTTTGCACAGTTCCGAAGCTTTGACCCTCCCACATCTTGAAAGCCCTGTGTACATGTCATTCCGACTTCCCAGGATTCAAGTGTTCTTAATCGGGGGAATGAAGGAACCGGTTTCCCATATATCATATAGTCATTCAAGATGGGTTGAACCCATATAGTCATACACGAGCTGGGCCCGAAACCCTCCCTAGAACTGTTCCTCCACTCCTAGTACTAAAGGTCTTAGAGATCGAAATCCTATAGTGAACGCATTAAACGAAAAAAAAATTAAAATGCACGCGGTTTTTGCGCGCGATTTTAATTATTTTATTGCGTTTATAAGTGAACGGGCTTTTCTCCCGGGCTAACATTACGCATGCGTGCATTCATTCTATTCATTTACCGTGCGAGTAAAGGCCCGGGATACATTATAAAGAGTGTGAAGAGAGAAGTGAGCAAGCAAGCGAATTAACTGAGCGAACGCAGCAAACGCACGAACGTAACAAGTGAGCCGACATGGAGGTGCCATCAGAATCCTTTTGTAGGAGCTCTTGGGATTCAAGAACCTGTTATCCTTGGCGAACCACAAATCAAGGGTTAACCGATGATTGGTACGGGCTAGTAGTAAAACCATTAGATTCCTAGCCCTTGATCCTAATGTTAAGTATCCCCATCTGCTTGAACGACAGAGACGCCACCCTCGAAACTCTGGGCTTTTGGCAGTGAGTAGGGTTTGGGGAGACCCCAGAACCCCTAAACCCCCCTCAACTGTAGAACCTTAAGGAAGCCCGAAACCCTAAGCCCGAAGCCCGAAACCTTCGAAACCCTAAGCCCCAAAACCCCTAAATCCCAACATCCTAAACCCGAAACCCTAGAACCCCTAATACCCGTAAACCGCAAAAAGCCCCAAACCCCTCAAAGCCCTTAAACGAGACCGAGGCAGGAGCCACTGACAGGGGCCCACCGCAGCCTGCTCATCGGGTGCCACCCGGGTTGCAGAGACCTCGTGGGTTTTGGGGGACCAAAACGCTCGATGTCGTAGGGGTTCTTAGGGTTTTGAGGGTTTCAGGTTCTTAGGCTTTAGGATGTTAGGGATGTAGAGATTCTTCGGGTTTAGGGCTTTCAGACCCTACATCCCTGGATGGCAACTCCTGGGCCCACCTTCGGACTTCCTCCTCTTCTTCTTCTTCTTTTTAATACTACCCCTATGAGGGCAAGATAGCTTCATTGAAGCTCCTTGTCCAGCAAGCTCAGGCAACTATGTCGGCACTTCCAATGAGCTCCACGGCTGTGCCTGGGCCCCTCCTTCGGAGCTTTTTGAGGGCTTAGGTTGCTTTTTTTTTTTTGGATTCAGGGGTTTGGGGTTTAGGATCTAGGGTTTTGGGTTGGGGGGGGGGGGGGTTTCGGATTCGTTTAGCAGGTTTCGGAGTTGGGTTGCTGTAGGCTTCAGCCTCGAAGGCGCCAATGACGTGCGAAGAATGATCCCGGTCCTGGAGCCTCTGCTGCAAGTGCTCTCATTGGGATTTGGGGTTTTAGGGTTTGAGGGTTTTAGGGTTGGAGGGTTTTTTGAGGCTCTGCGGTGTACCCTACACGACCCGCAAGTCGGATGTCACGGCCCGGAACTCTCAAGAAACTTTTTTGGGGGGTTTCCGAAAATAAGGGACCCCAAATCTAGTCACCCAAACAGTAGGATTCCCGTAAACAGGACCCCAATAAGGTCGGAAACCCTCATATGGGTTGAGAGTTTATGGGTTCAGGGTTTAGGGCTTTTGGGGCCTTAGGGGCGACATTATCAACATACCCTGTAGGACCCAGGTTTTCAAGTGGGAATCCCATTTCGGATCACGTTGGGGAATGTGGTGGTGGCGAGCGTCCCGAATTACGTACTCTTTCTCTGACTACGGATTAGACAGGGCTCAGGAGGGCGTTACGCACCAGGATCCCCTTGTAGCAGCTCACAGGATTCTTTATGAAAGGGGGCCCCCCTGAAGACCGAATGCATCATGCTGAGGCCAAGCTGGGCTTTCCTTCCGATAGCGCGAGTCAAAAGGCGCGGCCGTGGGGCTTCTGAAATTTCGACGGTCTACAAGTTCGGGGGGCTTTTCCCCGCCCACCCCAACCCCCCCTGCCCCCCTGTTCGGGTTTAGGGTTTAGTTTGGGGTGTTCGCGGTTGCAGAGGTTCTGGGTAGGGTCGAGCTCCCCCTGAACCCTAAACCCAAACCCTAAACCCTAAACCCTAAACCGTAAAACCGTAAAACCGTAAAACCCTAAAACCCTAAACCCTAAACCCTAAACCCTAAACCCTAAACCCTAAACCCTAAAACCCTAAAACCCGAAAAAAAACCCTAAAACCCTAAAACCCTAAAACCCTAAAACCCTAAAACCCTAAAACCCTAAAACCCTAAAACCCTAAAACCCTAAAACCCTAAAACCCTAAAACCCTAAAACCCTAAAACCCTAAAACCCTAAAACCGTAAAACCCTAAAACCCTAAACCCTAAACCCTAAACCCTAAACCCTAAACCCTAAACCCTAAAACCCTAAAACCCGAAAAAAAACCCTAAAACCCTAAAACCCTAAAACCCTAAAACCCTAAAACCCTAAAACCCTAAAACCCTAAAACCCTAAAACCCTAAAACCCTAAAACCCTAAAACCCTAAAACCCTAAAACCCTAAAACCCTAAAACCCTAAAACCCTAAAACCTCTAAAACCCTAAACCCTAAACCCTAAACCCTCTTTTTCTGCTGGCTCACGAAAGGTGCTCCTGGACGAGGAAGGGGTGTCCGGCCCGAAGCCCACGCACGCCAACATGCTGGAGGCCACCCCCACCCCCCTGCCCCTGTCCTTCCTTTCCGGGTTTAGGGTTTAGGGTTTTGGGTTCAGGGTTTAGGGTTTAGGGTCCGTCCGTTTATGCTGCAACTCCTCCACTTTGTGGGCTTTTGCATGTGTTTTTTTTGGGGTCCTTTCTGGCGAGTGGTGTAACCACGAGCTTTCATGGACCGCATAACAGAAACAAACGCTCCGGCGAGTCGGACAACATACGCACCCAAGTCGGAAACCTGGAGGGTCTGAGTGGGAAAATGGAAAGAGCCCCGTCAGAAGAACCAGGCCGAAGACAACAGGCTGCTTTAGGGCGTTTTAGGGTGTTGGGGTTCAGGCTTTTTTGGGTTTAGGTTTTTTTTGGTTTTCGACTCGCCTACAGGCCGTTTTTCAGGCTCGCCCCCGGCATTTTCCGACTCGTTGTTTCCCTCACCCATGAACCATTCATCAAGTTTTGAAGCGTGACTGTACCTGTTGAGAAATAGGGATGATGCTTGCCCCCTTTCATGATGAATCATGATGAAGCATCTGAGCAGTGAGAAAGAACGCGGAAGCGGCCTTGCGGGGGGTTGGGGGGGGGGGAGGGCAGGGGTGTTGAAGGTGAACCAGAAAGCTTGGCAGAGTTTCGTGCAGGTGGCCGTGGGTGGGTCTACATTTTCCTCAACTTTCCTAAGCTTGCTTCCCAAAGCGTCCTAAACTCGTAAGCTCTCCTACACACCCCAAAGCCCCCCCAACAAAGAGCGAAGACGCGGAGGCTCTCGACTGGCTCGTGGCCGGGGCCTCCGCGGGCGATGCGCTGCTGCTCCACTACTCCGGCCATGGGGGCCGGGAGCCGGCGCAGGACGAGACATCTGCGACTTGGAAGTTATACACGTGTGTGTGTGTGTGTGTGTGTGTGTGTGTGTGTGTGTGTGTGTGTGTGTGTGTGTGTGTGTGTGTGTGTGTGTGTGTGTGTGTGTGTGTGTGTGTGTGTCTGTGTGTGTGTGTGTGTGTGTGTGTGTGTGTATGTGCGTGTGTGTGCGTGTGTATGTGTGTGTGTATGTGCGTGTGTATGTGTGTGTATGTGTGTGTGTGTGTGTATGTGTGTGTGTGTGTGTGTGTGTGTGTATGTGTGTATGTGTGTATGTGTGTATGTGTGCGTGTGTATGTGTGTATGTGTGTATAGGTGTGTATGTGTGTATGTGTGTGTATGTGTGTATGTGTGTGTATGTGTGTGTATGTGTGTATGTGTGTGTGTGTATGTGTGTATGTGTGTATGTGTGTATGTGTGTATGTGTGTATGTGTGTATGTGTGTATGTGTGTATGTGTGTATGTGTGTATGTGTGTATGTGAATGTATATATCTTTATGTATATGTGTATGGTACCTCTCTCCCCCCCCAGAACCAACCCTCTTTGATTTTGGTCGCAAATAGCAGTTTTCCTGCACTGGCCACACTGCCATACAGTCATTACGAGTCATGTACATAGACTATATGTAAATGAGAAAACTACAAAAAGATAAAGCTCCGGTACGTTCCACAACCAAAAACCCAAATATGTCAAGAATCTTAGGCATCATGTACAGCAATCGCCCTCTACAGACGAAGTCGCGTGGCGGGGTTCTACCCAAAACCCTGAGCCTAGAACCCAATGCAACCGCTAACCCCTAAACCCTAAACCCGCTTCTGGATTTTTCTGGGAGAGGACGGCGGCTACCACGAGACGCTGGTGCCCCTGGATTTCGAAAGCGCAGGCGCTTCGAGCACAAAGGGCCAAACTCTAGGCGTGGGGGCGAAACCTTACGCCCTAAGCCCTTCTAAGCTGTGCCGATCCCACTCTAAGTAGCGCTGGATCTAAATCATATCAGGCTATTTAATCTATACCGCGTTGTAGAAAGGAGAATCCGTACTTAAGAATATCTTTTCCAAGCAGTCTACAGGGCCAACCCTAACGCCCCAAACACTAAAAACCCCATCATCCAAGAAACTCCCAAAGCCCCCAAAGCCGTAAAGGCCCTTTAAAACCCCCAAAAAGTCCTTACCAGCCCGAAAAAGCTCAAAGCCCCCAAAGCCTTAAACGCCCTTACAGCCTCCGAAAAAGCCCCAAGAAGAGTCCTACCGGTGTCCCAGGAAAAGCCCTTCAAACTTCCTAAATAAGCCCCAAGAAGAGTCCTACCAGTATCCTAAACAGCCCTTCAAAAAACCCCTCAAAAAAGCCCCCCCAAAAAAGTCCGATTTTCTTGGTTTTTCAGGAATGCTGCGGGACACCGAGCTCTTTGAGCGGCTGGTGAGGCGCCTGCCCGAGGGCTGCAGGCTGACCTGCATCCTGGACCGGCTCGCTGTCTTTTTTGTTTGCTGGGGGGGGGGGGGGGGGGGGGTTCAGGGTTTAGGGTTTAGGGGGTTTAGGGTTGCGGGTTTAGGGTTTGGGGTTGAGGGTGTAGGGTTTAGGGGGGGGGAGGGGGCGGGTTACGGGTTTTTAGACCATGTTGATTTTTTTTTTTTTTTGTGCTTTCTGCGGTGCGATGGCTATGGGTTTTTAGGGCTTAGGGACTAGTGTCGGCCAAATTGCTCTGACATGGTTCGGTTCTTTCCTTGAGGGTTTGCATCATAAACCCTAAGCCCTACATTGCCGGTTCGGAGCTTGGCGTTCTCCTTTTCTTGGCAGGACAGCTGCCACAGTGCTGGGGCCTTGAATCTGCCCTACATCTTCGTGGGCACCGAGGCGGGCTTGGGGGCCCTAAACCCTAAACCCTAAACCCTTAACCCTAAACCCTAAACCCGAAACCCGAAACCCGAAACCCTAAACCCCCTAACCCCCTCAACCCAAAAAATCCCAAAGCCGGCGCTCAGGCAGAGCTCCGAAAGGCCGTGGCCGGTGAGGCCGTGCGCATGGCGCTGTCCATGCGGTGGAAGTCCGACCTCGAGACTCGGCGGCCTCAACAGGCCCTAAAGTCTAGGAAGTTTAGGGTCTAGGGTTTAGGGTTTAGGGTTAGGGTTATGAGCCCCTAAACACCTCAACCCCAAACACCCCCCCCCCTCCCTGGCCCAACCCCCTAAAAGCCCTCAAGCCCCTAAGCCCCCACACCCTTCAGCCCTAAACTTTTTTTGAACCCTTCAACCCCCCCCCACCCCCCCCCACCCCCCCAAGACCCTAAACCCTAAACCCTAAAACCCTGAACCCTTTAAACCCTAAACCGCAAGAATGCAAACGAAGCAACAAAGATGTCTGCAAAGGAGAAGTGGAGCCAAGGCTCCTCTAAGGAGCTCTTCGGCGACGTCAGCTCCATGGGCGGCTGGGCTTTTTGAGCGTTTGCTTGGTTTGGGGGCTGTAGGGTTTAGGGAATTTAGGGTATTTGGGGGTATTTGGGGTATTTAGGGTATTTAGGGTGTAGGGTTTAGGGTAGTTTAGGGTTTAGGGTTTAGGGTTTAGGGGTTAGTGCTTACTTAAGGTTTAGGGTTTAGTGTTTGGTGGTGGGAAGGGTTTTTTCGCTGAGCTGGACGTGCCACTGTAATCCGGCCGAAAGTATACACTCGGCATATCGCTCATGGAATCAGCTTGAAGCCCCAAAGCCCGAACACTGCTCAGGGTTTAGGGCTTGAGGGTGTAGGGTTTCGGGCTTAGGTGTCGGCAGCTTTGTATGGAGTTTCGATTGGTTTTGGCCTGCTTCCGAAGAATTTGTAGAGGTTCGGTGGGTTTAGGGTCCAAAGGGTCTATAAAGGGTCTGAGTCTAAAGGGTTCTAAGTGGTCCAGCGCGTTTGTCTCGCACCTGGATCCCAGCTCAGGCAAGAACCTCTGGAAGATGTACCAGGACGGGCAGAGCGGCTTCGTGACCGATCAGGAGCAGACGCGCGGCATCGCCGTCGGGGAGGTGGTGGCCATCACCGGATGCTGCTTGGCACCGAAGCCCTAAGCGAGACACCCTACAGCCTTGACCCTATGAACCAGCTGAAGAACCCACAGAAGCCTACAAAGGTCACTTGTTTATAAGTCCGACCCGCAAAGGCCCTGTAAACCTGTTCTGCAAACCCCACAAGGTTTTGGTTAGAGTTTATGGCGGATTCAGGGCTTAGGGTGTTTTTCCGGGACACCTGAGGGTGGTACTTGGAGGTTTTTCGTTTTGTTCGGGGATCTGGGGGCGCATGGACGAAGGTGATCGGAGCCCGAAGCTTAAGCCAAAAGCATCAGACGCGAAACAAGGGGGCTACTTTTCCTCTCAGGGTTAGGGGACGGTGCCCGCACTTGTAGTCTCCTGGCTTTGCAGGCAGGGCTGAGGGTTTTTTTGGGTGGTTCTTAATGGGCTCCTGCATGAACCCTTAAACCCTAAACCCTCGACCGAATTCCCAAACCATAAGCTCGCTAAACCCAGAGCCCGCAACTGCCCCGTGAACCCTGGAGAGGTCGCTCGGATCAGACGAGTGCCGACGTCGGGGACGTGTCCACATTCGGCATCGAGGGAGCTGCGTGGCGGGGTTTAGGGTTTAGGGTTTGGGGTTAAGGGTTTAGGGTCTAGGGGTTGGGGTTGAAGGTTTGAGTTCGGGTTTAGGGTTTAGGGGTCTAGAGGGTTTGTAGGGTAGGGTTTTTAGAATGTACAGGGTTTATAGAGTTTACAGGTTAGGGTTTGGGACTGGGGAGGAGGGTCTTTTTGGGTAGTGAGCGTCCCTACGTGTCGCCTCACCTGCCCCTGCGTGCGACGGACGTCCACTTTGTCTCAAACTGCTAACATCAAATCCATAAAGAAGCCTCTTGAACAGTATACCTTCAACACGCCCCAGTATGCTCCGGCAACTCCTGGAACACAATGATCCACCAGCACAACTCTCCAACCCGAAGCCCAGAGCCAAAACCCTAAACCCTTTGAACAGAACACGCTTCGACAGCATACTCGTGTCTTTTAAACCCTAAAGCCCTACAACCCCCTTAAACCCAGAACCCCCCAACTCCTGTGAGCGCTTACAAAGCCTCTCAGTACTAAACCCTAAGAGCCACGACCCCTCAACCCCCTAAACGCTCCTGTCGCTACACCAGCGGCAACAGCTGAGGTTTCGGGCTCTGCTGGTGGTGCGCTCACCTCCGCTTTGGTGGAAGCCCTGGAAGGCCCCTGCGCATGGTTTCGGAAGGGATTTGTCTGTTGCGATTCTTCAGAGTAGTATTGTCGGTAAAGTGCTTCTTCTTATTCTTGCACTTTTGTTTGCTTTCATGTTGTCATGGGCTTCGGTTTCAGATGTAGGGGGGGTTAGGGCTTTACAGTTTGGGGTTGAGACAGCAACTGCTTTCCGTCAACATTCCTCGGCTTGTAACCGTTGGAGGGCAATTTCGGGTTCCTAGGGCCAAAGGAGCGTCGATGTGGGGCTGCCATCAGCTGTTTAAGCCCTCAGCCCTCAATGCTCAAGCCGAAACTCCTAAACCCTAAACCTTGAACCTAGACCAATCTCTCCGCTCGCAGGGGCAGAGTCCCTGACGTACGCGGACCTCCTCGAGCGAATGAGGAGAGAGCTTGCCGCCAAAGGGTGCCTTGGGTGGGAGCTTCTTGTTCGAGGGCAGAGTCAAGGTTCAGAGCTCAACCCCAAAACACCGAACCCTAAACCCCAAACCCTTCCCCCGAAACCCTCAACCCTAAAACCCTAAACGCGAAAGCCTAAGCTGAGGGTTTTTGTTGTCGGGTGGGTTGAGCTCTCCAGGCTCCCCCTCTCCGACAGGTTATAGGCCTTCCTACGGACCTGCTCCTGGAAACCTTCAAGGGGTCTCGCGGGAAGATGGAGTGCGGTTTCAAAATCAGTTCCGGAGCTGAAGCCTGACCCTAAACCCTAAACCCGAAACCCTAAACCCTAAACCCTAAACCCGAAACCCTAAACCCTAAACATCTCACGCCCCTGAAGCCTTTGTGTACATTCGCAGGTTCTCTCAAGTGCCGCAGTTTGTGTCCTCCCTCCTTGTGGAGCTCAAGCAGCCCTTTAAGCTGGACAGCATCTTCGTGGAGGACAAGCAGTGATGCCAGGGGTTTAGGGTTTAGGGTTCAGGTTAGAGTGTACAAAAAGGGTTTCATGTGGGGACCCTGAGAGCACTTTTAGGGGTTTAGGTCTTCATGGATTGTAGCAGCATCAAAGATGCTTCCACCGATCGCGTGAGCTTGAACGCTTTCGGTGCTTTTGCCGCAACTCCCATGACTGTGCCAAAGCATGTCAAAAAAAGGCGTGCTGGGGAAGGACATTCTCGGGGGGGGGGGGACATTGTGGGGCTTTGGTTTCAGGGGGCTGTTTTGTCTTTCTGTAGAGGAGGGAGGCTGGGTGCAGGCTAACCCTTGGGCGCCCTCCTTTAGCCACCAGAATTCGGCGACGGCGATGGCGGGCCAGGGGCCAAAGTGAAGGACTTCTCTCCCTTTTTGGGGGACCTGACAGTGTACCACAATAGGGATACGTTGTACAAGGCGGCTTTCCTTGTGATAAGACAGCTGAAAGTTCCCTTGAAGAGAAGCGACCTTTCCGCAAAAGCGTATGGACGGCCGGCCACAAGCTGTGAGAGTGTGCCGAAACTCTCCATCAAACGATTACACGATGAGAGCTGCGAGCTCCGACCCTTCGGGTTTCTTTGGTTCACACGGGCTTCCGGAGCGCTGGTTCAACGATTCGAGTGAATCTGGGTCCGATTTTTGGAACTGCAAATGTTGGGGAAGCAAAAATGGTCAATCGCTTCCTGGCGATAGTCTCAGAGCTCGTGCAAGGAAGACTCTTGCGCCTTCTGTGCGACTTGTGCTTCAAGCTGCCTGATATTGCATGACAGCGATTGCAATCGAATTCGGACGAACGCGACGCGCCCCCAGAGCAGGCACCCCATGCCTCCAATGACCGAATTGATCGTCCCTGTCCTGCGAAGGGCCGCTCGGCGTACTGACCATGCCTGCGAAGAGCAAGACAGCGCGCCCACAGCATAGCATGCCCTGAGTGAGACTGCAAGCAGGCGTCAACCAAGTATTGGTGAACCATGCGGCGTAAAGCCTCGCACGAGTCGAATGCTTATCCCCCTCACTCCGACGCGGCGCATGCGAAATTAAGTCTTCGGGAGCACGGGTGGGGGAGTTCGATGCCTTGCAAGGCTACCAAATCACCACCCCGGGAGAGATGCAGAGTTGATGAGCTATACAGGAAGCCCCGCCGCTGCAAGGAAACCAAGGAGCCAAGGCACAACACCCGCCCACCGAGCCTTTTCCGCATACAGCACAGCCGAAGCCCTTGGTAAGCTGCCCGGTGACGGGCTTGCGCCCGACGTCAGCCGCATGGCAGACTTCGCGCCATCTCGAAGTGCAATAGCAGCACCTTGGAGCAGCGGGCTTCTGCGCAAGGATGGCCCCGCCATCAGGAGCACCAGTGCAGCACCATACAGCACGCTCTCATGACCTTCACCTGGCCACTTCCCGACAGCATGATGTGCTTGTACCTTTTTGCTCAAGCGGCAAGAGAGTTTCAACCCATCAAGCAAAATTCTTGCAAGGCGTTGCTTGGAGCCCCACCCCGGGCAAGCTCATCAAGCTGCAATCAGAGAGCCAAGGCAACACGAGAAAACGAAACATCCCATGGATTGTGGACTTACCCCAAGGCAACCTGGCACCTACGACGGCCTAGCATCAACGCAAGGCACCCCACTCAAAACATTGCCTTCGCAATTGGCACTCTCAATGTGACAACCATCCAAGCCTGAAGAAATGCTTCGTCTTGCCAGGGAGCACAATGTAGACATTGGAAGCAAGCTGCTTGCGGCTGCCCCCCCCCTCCCCCCCCCACCCCGGTCGCTCGAGTTTCTTGCATGACGCTGACTCACCATGCGATTCCGGAGGCCGATGCCCGCCGCGGGGCTGAGCGTGCTGAAACTCTGGGGAAGCCCCGGCCGCCGCCAAAACACTCACACACGCCGACGAACAACGACCGTCAACGCACTGCGCGATCCAACACGGCGACTGCGCCAGCCCCGCAACTCCCATTAGCCAGCGCCTCCGCAAAAGCACCACGCTGCCGGTCGAGATGGTGTCCGTCGAGCTGGACAAAGGGCCCCCGGACATTTTGCTTGCACAGGGAAGCACGGGCGTTGCGTGACGAGGATTGCACGCAGCAACGTCTGGTGCAGCCCACAAGCTGGCTTGTGCTCAGGTGCTGGAGGTGATCGCACCAGCCAGATGGCTTGGCCGCACGGTAACTTTGTCCGAGCCCGTGGGCGGCGAGCCCTGGTCATGGGGATGCGTTCCAGCACGTGGTAGCTCACACGCTCGCTGAACGGACAGCGTGTCCTTCCAGTATACGCCCTCGGTGCTGAGGCCAGTGCCAAGGCTCAGGCGGGAGGTCGTGTGGGTGGCCTGTGACCATGTACAGACTGGCAGGCTTGCTTCTGTACAGAATGTGGTGCTCTTCGTTGGCTCCCCGCACTTTCAAGGGCCATGCCCGAAGCCTTGGTGCACGTCTTGCAATTGCTTGCAAGCTCGCACGCAGGCTAACACCCAACTCACGGTCGTCTCCGATGCCACTCCCACGTACGACCTTGTCAGCCGCGAGGCCATGCTCACTGCAGTGCGGGATTCCTTGATCCTCCGCGTGCTAGTCGGTGTACCTGTGGTGCACCGGGCAGCACACACACACACACACATCGCATCACCCAAGCAGAGGGCGGCGAACAAGGCGACCACCTCATGCCGGCATTCTTCTCTGTGGCTGTAGCCCTGCCTTGTTGCTCCAGACAGCACCTTCAGCGAGGCCGTACTTAGAATGCAACGTGTGGGAACCATCAATGACACACATGCAGGAATGGGCAGGCAGCGGTCAATGGAACCGGAAAGCCTCATCATTGATCATCATTGTTACATGTGCAAATGTTGGACACGCAGTTGGATCCGTGCGAGGCGAGCCTTGCAGAAAAGCCGTCCGCAACTCCAAAACTAAATCCGAAATTCCTCTGCCCTACTCTTGCGTGCGCGGGCTACGAATGTGTTGGTTTCTGCAGCACGTTCCTCTTCGCATGTCTGGTCGGGGTGGGAGCTATCCGAAACGCGACGTCATCCGAAGATGCCACAAGCTGTGTCTCCCAGTGCTGAGGATGCCCCCGTACCGGTCACCGAGGAAAACGTGAACTGCGACGATGGGAACGGGCCTTTCAAGTAGGGCCTTGGCGTGGGCGCAGCAACATCAGCAACGGACCGAGGGCGAGGTGGAGGCTGATTTGCTGTGGGTGAAGCGCGCCGCTGCCGCACTCGCACGTCTCGGCCAGCTTTCGGTTGCAGCGAAGAAGGCGCTCACTGCCCGCCTTCGGCTTCATTTGATCCAAACGAACTCGCCCATGAGCGCCTACGAAAGATGCAGAGGCAAAACTCGCAGCCGGTGCATTCTCACTCGCGCCATCCTGTAAGGGCCTCTTGCTCTTGCATCATCCAGGCGTCATTTTGGCACGGTTCGGTCAGCATCTCGTCGCGAAGAGGCTTCAACCGTTTGCCGGGCGTCCATTCACTGTGGAATTGGCGTTTCTTTCGCCGAGCGATCCCGCGTGTGCTCAGCTAAAATTTCCAGAAGGCCACGCGTGCGGAATTTCAATTCCATGGTCTTGGCGAGGTTTCGGAGGATACACATCGCCCCGCACCAGCGCACGGATGTCTCCTGAAGGCCAAGCGAAGGGCCGGAAGGCACTGGCGCCATCGCCAGCTTGCGCGCAACCCTTGAAGGGAGCTCGGCGGCTCGTCATCCCGGAGGACATGCTCATGTCCCTCTGTGCAACCTGAAGGCCCGGGCGCAGCCCCTTTCTTCGCAGCGTCGTGGGGCGTGGGGTAAGGGCGCTCGAAGGCGTCGGAGCAGTAGGACGCGCATGCACTCACTCGGCATGCGGAACTCAGGTGCCGTGGGGAGCGCATTGACAGCCCGCGGCCCACCAGGGCCCGCCTGAGACAGGAGCAAAGCACGGGAGGTCGGATCGAAGTCAGATAAAAGGCTCTCGCATGCTGTACTGTCTTGGCAGGCCACGGCGGCGCGTTGCCATCCCCGCAGTGTGTCGCCATGTGTGCGCGGTTCGGGCGCGGCTGGCGGTCGTTGGCCGCCCAGCAAGGACTCCCGCGGGCATGTTGGCCACTCGCACGCACTGGTGACATGCACGTAATCATCCCCAGCCGCCTGCCGCTGCCCCAGTACTAGGCAGGCAGCCCCGGGCGAGCGCCTTTTTTTTTGCGCCCCTTATAAGTTCGTAGGTGGCCCCGACTCTCTGACTGTCGTCTGCAGTTGCAAAAGGCGCGCGCCACGATGATTATGGCCGTGTCGCCGGTGCGTGTGAGTGGCTGCCTTGCCTGCGCGATGATCAGGCCCGTTTTACCAGGGCGTGCGAGCGGTCACAAACATCAGAACGATTGATTACGTCCGTGTCACGAGTGCGCGCGAATGGCCGTTAAAAGGTCCATGCTAGTACGATTCTTTTTGAATGTGTCACCAGTGCGTGCGAGTGGCCAGCATGCCCGCACGATGATCACGCCCGTGTTGGTGCGAAAAACAGCCATGCCAGCACGATGCCAGCCAGCGCGTCGGGCGTTTAAGCGGCACTCCCTGTCCATCGGCAGCTCAAGGAGGGAACTGGCATATGCGCGCTGCTACCGCCGCCGGTCGGAGTGCAGCTGGGGCGCCGTCGGCGCGGTGCCGGGCCAAGAGGCGGAGGAAGCGGGCGGCCTCGGCTCCAAAGCGGCCACCAACCTCGACGACCACCAAGCGCGGCTGCGCCGGGTGCGCGCGAGCTCGGGGCACGTCTGCTGTCGCTTACGGCGCGCTGCGGCGTCGACGGCTTGGCCGGGGCGAACATCAGCATCCAGCTGCGCCTCCGCCCTGCGGGTAACGAGGCTGACGATGGCGGCGTCAACGGCGAGCTGTGCTCCGTTCCAAAGCGAAGGGCCGTTGGCCACAACCTCAATGCGTCTGCGATGAGCACATCGACATTCATATCCGCCAGTCGCACGTTGTGGCATACCCGCCCTCCCATTTCCCAGCACGCACGGGCAACCGCGCGCTCAAACGGCAACGAGAAAAAAAAAAGCCAGGACAACGGAAGTGGCGCACGCTGACCGGCTGCAGCGGGAGCCGCAGGCGGCGCAGGAGCAGCACCCGGAACTGGGCTGGTGGGATGAGGAGCTCCGCGGCTGTCGGCTTTGCTGTGACGGCGCGCCCGGCGTGCGGTCCGGCCTGCGGTGAGGGCCGCTCAAATCTGTGCGCTGCGTAGCATTGACTGTGCTGGGCTGTGTTGCAAGTGAAGCCTTCAGTAGCGGGCTCTGGGAGCACGGCAAAGGCGTTTGTGGCTGCGGTGCACATTGCTGAGGGGGTGCGGGCAGCCAACCTGGGCACGGACAAGCGCAGAACTGCGAGCCCATGCGGTGCGGCACAGAGAAATGCAGCGCCACCATCATTTGCGGGATGCGTTGCGGAGTGCTTTGCGGGGGAATCCGAAAAAGATGCCAAGACATGCTTTGTCTTTGCCTGATCTTCCAAAAGGCCGCCTACGCGCATGCAGGACTTACTTACTTACTTACTTACTTACTTACTTACTTACTTACTTACTTACTTATTTTTTTCTACTTACTTGCATCGCGGATGCAACTGCCATGCTGCGTGGGACGGCAGGCGCGGATCACAAGTGCGAACACGGATATATAATTGGCTATGAACCCGAGCTCGTGGGAAACGAGCAATGCTTGCAGTCGACACTACCCTCGTCTCGCCTCTGGACTCGGCGGGCCAGCCATGCCGCCACCAACGACACACACAAGGAGCAGCCCTCCGCACCGCCCGCTGAGCAAAGGAGCGGACCTACCCAGAGCTCCTCACGGAGGCTGGAGGGAGGAAGCAGCACAGTTCCTCCGCCTCCTCGCCCGTTGCCGGGCACGCCCCCCGGGGAGCGGGATCGATCGGGAGCCTGCAGGTCAGCGATGCCTGCGGCTCCTCCCCGGCTGCGTTCCATACGCGCCGCGTTTTTAGCGCACCTTTTTTCCAGAGTCCGGCCATCAGTGCTTAACTGGTTCTACTGAGGCGCTCCTGCCGGGGGCACTAGCGAGGCCCCTGCCGGGCCCATCACCGGGAGCTGCCACCCACGCCACACGCACTGTCGCTCGCATGGCCGCCTGCACGTCCGATGGACGTTGCCCGTCGAGCAGCTGGAGCCAAGTGGCCGCCTCTCCGCCAAACCGACCCCCAACCTCAACACCGACGACCACCAAGCGGCAGTGGCGAGCGCGCGCTCGGGGTAGGTCTCGCAGCGTTTGCGTCGGCAGCGAAATCAACAGCCCGACCGGGATGCACGTCAGCACCGGGCTGGGCGTCGCCCGCCCGCGTCACGGGCATCAACAGCTTGCTGTCGCGCATAACATCGGATCGCCTCATCGCCAACGCCCGGCTGTTGCGGTGGGGCTCTCGACGTTTGGGGTGACCACCGGGAGGCGGCTGTTGGAGACTTGCTCAGTCTCGCGAGCCTGTGCCAGAAGGTCCCCCAAGGGAGGCGCGTCGCCCTCGCCCTGCTCCGTGCTTACAAGGGGGAGCTCAAGGAGCGACGATGCGTACGCGCGCTGCGCCGCCACCGCCAACAAACCCGTCCATCTGTGGACGCTAGCCTGGCGCGTGGCGGGTCGCAAGCGTGTTGGGGCCGCACGGGCACGGGCATCGGCGAGCAAGCGGAGGAATGTGACCGTCTCCGCCGTGAGCCTCCCGCCCACCTCCAGCCCAACGACGACCAGCTTTCAGCGGCGGGCCGCCAAGAGCTCCGAGTAGGTTTCTAGCCGCGTCGGAAGCGGCCGCTCCTGGCTTGCGATCTGCCCGCGCTCGAACTAGCCTCGAACCGTCCCGCGAGACGGGGCTCACGAGCGTGGTATCAACCGCGACTTGCGCTCCCTGGTAGAGGGGGAGGCCGTTGGCCAGTACCTCGATGCGGCGAGCGTCCGCCAGCGGTACATCAAGGTTCATGTCGCGGAGGAGGACATTGTTGGCAACCCTGGCGCCTGCTTCGCGGTAGACTCTCGCGGCCGCCCGCTCCAGGGGCGCGCCGCGCGGGCCCAACACGCCTGCTGTGGGGCAGGCCGAGCCGCGGCCTAGGTGAACGTAATTAGGAGCCCCCCCCCGACCTGGACACTCTCCTGCGGTCGTAAAAGGAGTGGCAAAAAAAAAAAAATCAGAAAACTTGATTGCATGAAGGTGCCGGGCTGCGAGCTGCAAGCCGAACAGGTGCAGGTGCAGGAGCTGCTTTGCCCGCGGGGTGAGGAGGGCCGAGACAGCCTTGACGAGAAGCTTCAGTAAAGCGTGCCCGGAGGGGCATACCCGCCTCGAGGCCAACGAGGTTGGCCCGCTGCATTGCATGCCCCAACATTAGCGACACCAGCATCCCCGCATCCTCTGCGCACATATCGAACTCCGCATGCCACCAGGCTACATGGTTACCTGGAAGTGGAGCGATCCTTGCCCCAGCGAGCTGGCCTGTTTCGGTGGTCATCTCAACGCCAGCGCCAAGCTTGGTGAGCCAGTGCAGGAGATCCAAGCGATGTGCACGCAGGGGTATGCACGTGGAGATAACCATGTTTTGCAGTGCGTGGAATGTGCTAGCTCATGGCATCACGTGGTTTGGTACATCGCCTTTTACCTCATCAAGAACCTGGCCCTTTTCATCTCTGCAGTTGTGAGCGTCGCCGGCGCCAAAGGCCAGCGGGCAGAAAGTGCAACGCTTCTCAACCAGCTGATGTCCTTCGCTGCCTCCGGCATCGCAATGTCGGGAGCGATGCAGACACGAACATTCCAGCAGCCATCGCTTCGCAGGGGCAAAGCTCCGGCGGCGTCAGCATGTCTTGCGAGTGTTTGATGGAAATGATGAACGCCCACATGTTTTTTTTTTGCATCTGGCCTGCAGTACTTGTGGCAAGGCTTGCAACAGCAAAGGGTGGCTGGCTGGCCCTAGTTGTTGGGGTGAACGTTTTCCTGCCGGCCTTCATCGCCGGCTTCGGCAAATACTTGGTGACCTTCCGGCTCCGGCCTACAGATGTTGAGGGGGGTTGAGTTTTACATGGAGTTCCTGCCCCCAGGGCGACACATGACCTCCCACTTTCCCTCGCGGATCTTCGCAGTCCTGCTGACCATCGTCGTCGCCTTGGGTTTGGGGGCAGGGAGCTGGCTCCATGCAGTGCGGCACCGCTGCGAGCCGCTGGAGCCACTTGTGGCATCCTTGGTGCAAGCCTACCGGCCCGAGTGTGCAGCATGGGAAGTGGAGCGTTTAGTCCGGAAGATCTTGCTCGCCCTGACCATGACTGGCCTCACTACCCGTCTCATTGCCAACGACTTGCACTGGGGCAGATCCAGGGCGACACAGCGCGCCCTTGTGTTCCTCATCGGCATCTTCGCCGGGGGCACCTGTGCCCTGATGATTGCCCTTCTTGAGGGCCTTCGCCAAGGAGCGGTGTGGGGGATTGCCCAAAGCGTCCGTGGAGGAATGAGAGAAGCATCACAAAGGGCCTTGCAAGTTGCGCGCCAAAAAGGGCCGAACATTCGCAAGTTCTTGGAGCAAGCTTTGTTTGTGCGGGATTTTCAGGGTTTCGAGCATTTCAAGTATCTGCAGTTCTTACCGTTTCGTAGGAAAACGCTACAGGGAATTCCTAGTTCTGATTGCAAAACAGTGACGTCCCAACGTCTCGTGTCATTCTTTTTTCGAATTTGGCGGCCAATAGCTCCCTTTAATTAGGGCCTCGGACCTAGGGTTTGCAGCTAACGCCTCTTCGTAGGGTTGCGGCACCTACCATCTCCCTTCAAGCGCTTGGTTTTTTCAGGGGTTTTGCAGGGGTACACATACTGAATGCCGCTCATGCCGGCAAACCCTTCAGACAGGTCCTGCTTCTTAAACTGGCTTGCATTTCAACCTCGGACCAGCCCCCAAAACTGCTAGCGAGAGCTAAAGGCGTGCAAAGAGTCGAACGGGCGGCATAGTGATTGCACCTCTGCAGCATCTCAGCCCAAAAAGGGCATGTTTCGTAGGCCATTAGGTTGTTGGCCGACCACAGCACACTCCTGGACATGAGCAGTCCGGCAGCGGCAACGCCGCGACGCCCGTCGGACATCTTCAATGACCCTGATATCGATCTGATGGTGGCGGTGTAGCCCGTGCTTGCAAACAGCTAAGCAGTGGGCAGTGCAGCCTTTCAGTCGAAGGTAGGCAAGGTGTAGGCGAAGGGTAGGCGAAGGGCTTTGGGGGTGGGGGTTTTTGGCCTGTTTTGGAGTGGCCGGCGTCCCAAGGTCCCGGCAAGTCTCTGCACGATCGGAATATGAGAGCTTGCAAGTGGGCCGTGTCAACGCCATACCGCCCGTACTAGAAAAATCCGCCCAGATCCCGTTGTGGATGCGCTGGAAGGAGTTTTGGGCAGTCCTGGCCGTGATTTTGGCGATTGTGGGCGTGAGCGTCTACAACCTCACCTCTTCAGACGCCAGGTTGCTGGGCCATTTGCAGAAGTCCGTGGTCTATGTGGCGCAAACCCACGCAGGTGACATCACGCGACAGATCCGTACTTCAGTGAGTTCCCTGCAAGCGTTGGAGGCCATAGTTGCAGTCGACAAGTATGGGACCAGTTTGCAGGATTTCGACAAGCTGGCCGAGAGCCTGATTCGGACTTACAAGGGCATTTCCAACCTTCAGCTGGCCCCTTTCGGCACCATCCAGGTCATCTATCCTCTCGTGGATGAAACGCAAGACAACCGAGCTGCCTTAGGGCACGCCCTCTTGCTGGATCCAGCACGTAAGGATGGAGCCTTGAAGACCGTTCTGGCAAGGACGACCCAAGTGGTGGGCCCACTGAAGCTCCTGCAGGGAGGTGTGGCAGCCATCGCCCGGCGTCCAATCTTCAGCCGCCATGCGCCCAAATACCTCCCAGATGAGTGGTTTGTGGCCTCGGATGGTGTAAACTACACACGCACCTGTTCCCTCCCTGAGTTCCGCGACCGGGCCGACTCAGGCTGTTCCTTCCAAGGCCCCCCGGACCTTGATGGCGAGACCACGTACTTCTGGGGCTTTGCGACGTTGCTGATGCGTATGGACGATTTGTTGAACGTCACGGATCTGGCGTCGCTGGAAACCGGGGCGCGAGAGGCCGTGCCCGGCATCGCCGCCTTTGCTTTCCAGCTCGAGGATCTGAACCCGCACCCCTCCGTGGTGGACTTCGGTGGCGTTTGGCTTCGGTCCGCCAGGACGGAAGCGCTCCACAAGGCGGTGGAGGCCATGGTTGCCGTGGAGGAGCCTGCGTTCAGCTTGAGTTCATGGGAGGGCGGGGGGGGGGGGGAGGGGCGGGCCGCTGATGAATCAAAGCATGCAAGCGTAGAATAAGTAGAGTGCGCAGGCATGTCAGGAAGGGTCAGAAAGTTCATAGCGCAACTCAAACAAGGAGTTTGGATTCCAGTGGAGACTCTTGCTCGTGCCGGTGGACGGCTGGCCCGCTGTTTCCGAGCACTTCTGGCTACAGCTGCTGCTGATCCTCCCCACCACTGCCTTCCTGGGAGCCGCCCTGGGGGTGGGCATTCTCCTGGGCCTGCGCAGGCATGCTCTGAAGCTCGAGGACTTGGCCAAGTACCTGGAGAAAAAACGGGTGGAGACCATCCGCTCTTCCGTGGAGAACTTGAACCATTTCCAGTTCCCGATGTACCTGGTGGAGTGCCAGAATTTTTTGAGGATGGGGAGGCTGGTCCAGCATGAAGAAGCCCGGGAAACTGGCAAGCTGAGGTGCTTCGATTTCCCTGAAGATATCAGCCGCGTGCTTGCCTCCGAGGAGGTAGTTTTCATTTCCCACCAATGCTCCTTTTCTCAAGCTCTTGTATGTCAGTTTTAGCGTCTTTCAGTTTTACTTGGCGATCATTTGTGTGTAGCTTGTTGGCTGTTCATGATCACAGTCTTGTAGAGCATCTGTTGATGGCCTTTCTAAGGGGTTGGGTTTCGCCACCCTGACCCGGAGAACGTGCAGTACCAAGCCATGCACATTGCCATTGATGGTTTCCGGAAGAAGGGCATCGAGTGTGGGCTCATCTGGGTGGACAGGGATGACATGTGCGGAAATGAAGTAAAGTCAAAAGCGTCAGTGTCGGTGAGGTTCGGGTAAGGGGTCTGCTGATGTCTGCTCCTGCCCTGCGAAGGACTACACTTCCATTCCCCAGGCCAATGCCTTCCTCCAGCAATCTGCAATCAACTCCCTGTCGGTGTATGCTTCGAACTGTTCCTTAGTAGTAGAGTAACCCTTTAACCTTTTTGGGGTAATACAACCCCCCTTATAGTCCCAAAGGTTAACCTCTAGTTCCTCTAGGTACTGGACAACTAAGGTTCGGTCTTCTTGACCGTAGCGCCCAAGTGCACCCATGCGGACACCGGCCGGCCTCTCGACATGCACACCTACCGCTCGCGAGCCTGGTGCAGGCCACAGGGCTTTAGGGTTTACACCCCTAGGGTTTCTTTCAGGGTTTTCAGGATACTGGGGAGGGTCAGTAGGGTTGAGGGTTTAGGGCTCTGCCGGCTATTCGTAGGTAGAGATTTAGGGATTTTCCGGTCCAGGCTGGAGTTGCTCAGCTACAAGTGTCGCCGTGGCGCCGAAGAGGAAGCAACCTACGCCTGCGACGGCAAAACCTTGATGGACGCTGACTGGGACGAGGAGGCCACCCTTCAGGCGGACGGTGTGTTACAGGGCTTTTTGTGCAGGTTGTTTCTTTTCATGGTTTGACTATCTGCAATCTAGGCGGCCGGGAAAGAAAACAGGAGAATGTCTTTTTTTGAGAGCTGCTCGATCGAAACGAATTGACGACTGCTGACGACTTCCTTCGCCGAGCACCATCCCCCTGAGACTTTGGATCAAACTCTCTTCCCGGGCAACAAACTGCACATAAGCAGTTGCTGGCGTCCTTCCTCAAAGAAGCACCTCGAAAGGACCTTCCTCGTAAGATTGTCGCAGCGTTTCGGCGCATTTTCTCCTGCTCCCCAGACTTTCCGCCAGGTGCTCGATGGTTACTTCAGCTGCTGCTCCATGCGACACCCTGAGGGCCAGCAGTGTGACTGTGAGAAGATCCGGGCAGTGCTCCTGGGACTTTGCTGGCGCCTTATGGCCATCCGAAGGGACGGCGAAGGCCCAGGGAGGACCTGTGGGGAGACGGTCGAGACTGTTTCGAGCTGAACCCTCGACAGCCACCCCTAAACCCCCTAAACCCCCTAAAGCCCTAACCCCCTAAGCCCGAAGCCCCTAAAGCCCTAAACCCCTAAAGCCCGTTTGCGTTGGGAGGCCGAGCGCGGGCTTGGGCAACGAGGATGATGGAGCGCTTGGCAGAAGATCGCGAGAAGTATTTTCCCAGCTACTTCAGCTACGCCAGCGTGGAAGGCAAGAGGGTCGAATGTTCTTGGGCTTCTCCTAGTGGTAGGCTGTCTAGTAGTTGTGTAGGGGCCTCCTGAATCTTGTCAAGCTTGCCGGGCTATTCAGGACCGGTGACTTGGGGGGTGCCCGCTTGGGTCGCCTATTAAGTCAAATCTTCCGGGTGAAGTCAGGAGAATCAATTGCGGAGCCTCGCTGTCCCTCTTACATTCCTTTAAGCTCCTCCCTATGAAAAATCATGCAACACCCGTTAAAGCCGTGGACCGAATGAAGAGCGACGAAATCGGCTTCGATTGTTCAGGGGGGGGGGGGGGGGGGGGGGGGGGGGGGGGGGGGGGGGGGGGGGGGCGCACAGTAAAGAGGGCGCAACATCAGTACCATTATTTTTCATATTATTATCATTATGTTATATTATACTAGAGTATTGTCTTATGTTATTCTTCATTAAGTTATATTATATTGTGAGTTCGATCTTAGATCCCAACCTGTCCTGCAATCATACATGTTATGATGCTATATTCTACTGGATTGCACTATATGACGCCCCATGCTGCGTATATCATGCTTCTCGAGGGCTGCAGCGCCGGGAGCTCTTCCAGGGCTACTTCCCCCTCCTCCAGAGCATGTTCGAGGAAGACTCCGCCCTGAACGAGGCGGAGCGACTCCAGGTTTCCGCCATCTTGGGCTCCTGCATCCCGAGCGAAACTCACCACAGGCCTCTTGGGGCTCAAGGCCCCAAGCATGGGACAACCGCAGTGTAGGGATCCTACAAAAGGATCCGAATTCCTAGAGAGATCCTGTGTTTTTTTCTCGAGGAGGTTGCAGATACCCTGCGCTCTACTCGTTCCAGTCTGCCCGTTGTTCCCGTGTACATGGCTTCGACGTGCAGCTTTCCCCTGACACGCGACATGCAAGTGTGCACGTGCCGGGAAAGGTGAGAGAGAGAGAGAGAGAGAGAGAGAGAGAGAGCGCTGCTTCTTTTAAGTCTGCTCCCTTGGCTACCGAAACCTTAAAGCCTGAGTGCCCTGCGAGGGCCAGCTGAGAAATGCCCCAAAACCCTCATCCCCAGATATCAGAGACGGCGCCGAGTGACGCAACCCGAGCCAGACGAAGCCCCAAGCTTCACACAGAAAAACGACCTTTGCCCTTTCAAGGAGCTTGAAAGCAGCCTGAGGGTGTCATAGCCTTTCACGCTTTGGGACGAGTTTCTGGTGGCAGGTCAGGATCTTGTACCGTGGGCTGCATAATAGTGGCTAACATAGAGGTAGGAGAGGAGTTGAGCTCGGCTTCGAACTCTTAGCGTGCTTCGGTGATGTGGAGGAAAGATGTGAAAGCCTGCTAAGCTTCCTTGTCTTGCCTTCGCAGATGCAAGTGGCCCAGAGTAGGCTCTCAGTGCAAGCTGGGGATACAGAGGTTCCGGAGCTTGCGATGTTTGGTAGGACGCCTGCCAGTCCATTCGTGCTAGGGAGAATACCAGGAGGGCCACCGCCACCCTCATGGAGCTCACCGTTTTCCGTGGGGCGAACGCCAGGAACGCCATCCTTCCTCGGGACGGGTTTGACACCATCAACCCCGCTCCCGGCACTGCCAGCAGCATTCTCCTCGAGTGCCGGTACTGTGAGTGCTGTCCCCATGGCGCCTTTGATCCCTTCGATGCCAACATCGCTGCCGCCATTAACTCCTGAGAGCTCTTCCGATGAGATGGAAGATGCAGCCGAGGCATCACCAGTTGAGGATGCGGTCGATGCAGCTTCGTCTCCACCCCCACCTGCAGGAGCTGCTGCCTGGTATAAGGTCGAGATGCTGGTCAAGGATTTGGAATGCTATGCGCCAGGACAGACAGAGTATTCCACCACACAGGGCCCCGTGGGCTCTTTTCAGATGCGTTTAAAAGTCTATCCTCAGGGAACCAACTCAGCCCATGCAGGGTCGCTGAGCGCATTCCTCGAGCTCCTCCCACCCTCGCACATGGCCGAGAGTGAGTGGTCTTGTGACGTGCGATTCGACATCGCGGCCTTACACGGGGGGTATGTTGAGACCTGGTGGATGCGCAAGTCCTCAAGTCACACATTTACAGCCGACCATGCCTGCTTGGGCTGGGATACCTTCGTGCAGGACCCGAGCAGATGGCTGACCGGCAAAGGGGAGTTCATGCTCGAAGCTTCCGCCAGACTGCCCTTGAGGAGCTTCCGGGAGTCATCCGGGAGTCATAGGAGTCCTATAGGAGTCATAGGGACGGGACATGGCCCATGCAGGCAATGTAATGTAACATAACATCCAAGTCACGTCATGTAGGTGTGATGTTTGCGTGTGCGTAGATACATACATATAGCAACAGATGTAGATGTAGATGAACGATTCTATTGCATATACTTATACCTACTTCCGTTTCCTTTTTTCTATGTAAGCATCTAAGCTCCCAGCACGCTCTCCTCCCCTCTCTTTCCCCGGAGCTTCGGGGCGCACGTCGCGCTTGTGCGCGCGCGCATCGCGCTTATCGAGGCGGAGCGAACTCGAGGAGGCTCCGAGCAGCAGCTTCCCAGCCATGGACTTCACAGAAGACCCCGCCTCTGGGTTGCCTCATCGGCTTTTTGCTTTTGTGGGTGGGGGGCGGGGGAGGGGGGCTTTTTTGAGGTTGAGGGACGGGACTCCCCTGCAAACCGTAAAGATAAGGAGAAGGTCACGAGGGAGCCCTGTTGTCTCAGGGTGTCCCACAGCTGTGCTACATGTTCGGTAGAGCCCCTCACTCAATGCCCAGGCCTTCGTCACCTTTCGCCTGCGCGATGCGCAGCCCATCTTCTTTGACAAGCGGGTGCTCATTGCACGTTCAGAGTACTTCAGGGACATGCTCTCCGAGCCGCGATGGAAGGAGGCGCAGAGTAACGAGATCGACCTGCGGTCGGATCCTCACGCCGACGTCCGCTCCTTCAGCGCCATCCTGACCTTCTTCTTGTCCGAGACCTTCCTGGCGCGGGGAGATGAGGTCCTGGCATTCGCCGTGCGCCGCATGTCTGAACTTTGTCGGGTTTAGGGTTGGCTTCAGCCTGAGGGATTTTAGGGAAACCTGGGAAAAACCTCACCAACTGTACGGCTAGGACGCCTGGCCGACCGCTACGGCCTCAAGGAGCTCCTGGTGAAGGCGGAGAGCGAGCTGGAAAACCTGCTTTGCGCCGACAACGTGCTCAAGTTCTTGGGGCAGGTTACCGGCGCCCTTGTCCTGTTTAGTTCATATTATGATTCTGATTATTCTTGCCATTTCTTGTTTCAGGTTGTGTTTTTGGTCGGGTTTACAGGGGGCTTATAACGGCTTACATACAGGGCCGTCTATCTCTGCAGGCCTTTTTGTTCCTTCCGTGCCCACCGTAGGCACGGGCGGGCTGCTAGAGATGGCCTGCCTCGACATGATCAAGGCCAACGGCTGCGAGCTGTTGGACCAACAGCAGGCCTCGGTTTTTTTTTTCAGGTTTGTTTTATTTTTACACAGAAGTTTCATGTTCCAGGGTGCCACCCCTTTATGGAAAGCCATATTTTTCGCCGGGGTGCTTTGGGTAGTGTAGATGCCTTTTGCAAAGGAGAACCTGGACCGCATCGCTGAGGAGAACCCTGAACTCGTAAAGCAGCTCTTCCGACTGCTTCTTGCAGCGAAGTCTCACAAGAAGCGGCGCCTTGCATAAGAGCGTTGAAAAAAAACCCGGAAGGGAGGCAGTTCGCACCTCCACCTGGGTGCATCCCGTTTTGGGGGGGGCCATGTTTTGGGATATTACCAAAAGGGCACCCGCGACGAGCTTCGAAGGCCTTTCGGGTTAGATGAGATGCTTCGTTCAAGGCTTCTCCGGTAGCTTGAAGGGCTTTTAGGCTCGCAGCTGGGTCTCAGGGGCTTTGCGCTTAGGCACCGTCTTCTTTTGGTGCGTTGGAAGTGGGTTGCAAAATCAGCAGGTCGTATATGCATGTATGTACTGATTTCTTTCACGCTTAAGGTATGTATATGTGTATATATATATATACACATGTATATATGCGCACAGAAGTATATATATATATACATATAGATATAGATATAGGTATAGATATAGATATAGATATAGATATGGATCTAGATATCCCTTCTCTACATGTGTGCATGTGTGGGTGATGAATTCAGGCCTAAGCGTCGAGAGCAGGCCAAGCCATTGAAGCCAAGTTTCAAAGGGGGCCCAGCGAGGTTGAAGTTTGGTCTTCAGGGGGAAGTTCATGCCTCCCACGGCCCGGGTCCCAAGGGTGCGCTCCGGGGCTGTTTAGGGGCCCGCCTGTTGCGATGTCGCCCTGCGCCGGCTGCTGTCCCCCTGCCGTGACGTCCTGCTGCTGCCTCAAAACCTATGACCGAAGCTCAGCTTCACAGGGGGGGCGCTCTCAAGAGTTCTGGGTCCCTCTTGACTTAGGCTGCTTGAGAAGTTCAAGAAGGGTCAAGAAATGCTGGAAATTCAAGACCCAAGTCTCCAACTCTTGTTTCAAGCTGCAAACGGTTGTGATGCTCATGACACGTATTCGTAACAGTATACGTGCTACGAAGATAAAGACTCCAAAGCCCAAAGCCCTAAACCCTGAGCCAGCAGCTTGATTATTGTCTTTCGGACTCCCCGCTGAGTGGTTCGTCCAGCTCTGCGGAGAGAGTCGTGGCCACAATTCCAAGGAGACGCTGCAATCCAGCAGCTGCTCGCAGAGAGCACCGACGCCGATGGTCCGTCTTTGCTAGGAGTCCGAGCTGCTGTCAGGCTAGGGTTTAGGGTTCAGGGGGGCTCTTTGTGGGGGCGGGTTTGAGTGCTGTGGGTTGAACAAGCAGGGTTCAGTTTAAGCATAAGATTCAAGGGGCCCAAAGTGCCTAAAGGGCTTCCTGGCCTCGATGAGCCATGGGTCTCAAATGGATGGAGGTGGTTCCTCCCGCCCTCCCCTGAAGAATTTCGCAAAGCCCCAGCTAAACTCTTTCCCAGATACCGGAGAAACCCTAAGAGCCCGAGAAGCCCAACGAAGGACGCCTCTGCTGGTGCCAGACAGCACCGATACCCAGGCTCGTGGGGGCAGGAGGAAGCGGTCACACCTTCTTTTCGGGGGTCCCGATAATGAGAACCTGATGCTCCGGAGTAGATTTGGCGGAGTTCCTTGAAATTGTGAGAAGTTGGATTTCGCTTCAGGGGTTTAGATCCCAGCCGTCCCCCGAAGAGCCCACGATGCCTGGGGAAAGTTGCAAACAGTGCCGGGAAGGCCGCCATCCGCCATCGAAGACATCGACGCGGTGCGCTTCTTGTCCTGAAACGGGGGGGGGGGGGGGGGGGGTGCTCAAAAACAGACGGAGCTGCAGAAGGGGAGGGTTTCGGGTTCAGGGTTTAGGGTTTCGGGGTTTAGGGTTTAGGGTTTAGGGTTTAGGGTTTAGGGTTTAGGGTTTAGGGAGAGGGGAGAGGGTTTTAGGGTTTGGGAGTTGCTGAGCCAGCCAAGAGAGCGACAGAGCCCCCCAGAGGCAACCTCGTCGGCGTCACGCTGCAGGCTGGGTCGCACGCGACGCCCAGCATGCACTCAGATTCTTGCGAGGCTCCCTTCCCCCCCAAGGGGTTAGGGTTTAGGGTTTAGGGTTGAAAGGGTTTAGGGGCAATTATGGGAATTGTCACATCCGCAGTTGCAGGCTGGTGCATGCCTTACGTGCCATTCGTGTGATGAGGGTGTAGAAGAGGTATGTAGAACCAACAAGCTGTAGTAGCCAGTCTCGATGAGGCTGTCACACTTTGATGGCACATCCATTCTTCTCTTCAGCTTCGTGAACACGATGGAACACGTAAGAATGAGCAACACAAGACCTCGTTGCCTTTGGATCCTCGTATTCCTCATTGGTCCAAACATTTTTGTTTAGTGCCTAACCGGTTTGGACAGAAACAACCCCCACCTCCCACAGCTTCTTGCACCAAAGCCCTCCAACCCTGCAAGCCGCACAAGATGTCTCACGATCACCCCCCATAACACCCTAAGCCCTATACCTGCAGAGTTGCACATAGGCGTAGGCAGCGCGGGTGGAAACAAGAAAGCCTGACTGTCAGATACTCTCCAAGCCAGTTAATTAAGCCTGACGGCAAAAGGGAAGACGGGCAAACATGCCTCGCCGTCCAAGGTAGACGGTCAACCCTAAACCCTAAACACTAAGCCCTAAACCCTAAACCCTAAACCCTAAACCCTAAACCCTAAACCCTAAACCTTGCAAGCCACGTCTTTCCCCGGAAGTCAGACGCAGTAGGGGGGTTAACAGGGGACAAAAGCGCATTGTACAGGAGTGCAGGGTTGCGATTTTTCCTCGGACAGGGGCCTGAGCAGTGAAAGAGCCCTGTCCCGTCCAACAGGGGTGTCGGGCAAGGCACAGATGCCCGACTGAACCCTGAAATGTCACCTTGTGAGCATTGGAATGTCTTGACTGGAGGGGTGGGGGTATAGTGTGTAGCAGCTGGCAGCAAAACTCTACTCTAGGGCGTGCGACACACAGCAAGGGCAGCACGCAGTGTTTCAAGTCAAGGGGTTCCGGGACACATGTCGTATCAAACGGGCGACGGTATATGTGACCTGAAGAACCCGGCCTGGACGCGGTCCCCATCACTCGCGAGGCATGTTTGTTGTTGATGGACTTAGCGTGAGTTGGGTTTTTTGTGTGAGTGGAGTTTTTTGTGGGAGTGAAGATTGAGGGATGGGGACGCCTCGGGCCCTTTTTGCTTTCTGGTACACACACACACACACACGAGAAACCACGATTATTCCCTGCGGAGTGATCTCAGAGGGGTCAGTTAGGCGGGTGGCCAAAAAAAACCCTAAACCTAAACCCTAATCGTAAACCCTAAACCCGAAACCTTAGATACTTCTGAGAGTCCTCGGGTTGTTCCCCTATTTGGCGAAGCGAGGACTGCAGGCTCCCTGGAGATTCTTCGCTGGGCTCGGTTCGATGTGGCTTTGGATGACTTAAGGGGGCTCTAGGGTTTAGGGTTTAGGGTTTAGGGTTTAGGGTTTGAACCCTAAACTCTGAACCCTTTTCGGCTTCTCACGTCCCAGATACTGCCCTGCAGTGCATCGGGGAGTGTCAGCTAGGGTGAACAAAGAAACCTTAGACCTGGCCCCTGAGCCTTAGCAAGTAAGCTGAAGCGAGAGAGTTTTCATCGTCCTCCGCCCTTTCACCGCGCCTAAGCCCTGCACACGCCGAACAACCGAGAATGGCACGCCGACAAGAGGGAGGTGACTTGAAAAGGTTTGAAAAGGTTTGGGCTTTTTGAATTTAGAGGGTGTGCGCCAACAACCGGAGGCATGCAGCATGTCTCCCCTAAGCCCCAGAAGCCCAAAAAAAACACCACACCGAGCAAGAGGGAGGGAGGGAGGGAGCGAGGGAGGGAACGAGGGAGGGGAGGGCTTGGACTAAACCCCAAACCTCAACCGTCGACTTCCCAAGCTTCCCAAGCGGCAGTCAGGCTGAGACGCGGACCTTGACAGCCACGGGATTTGGAGGATGGACGCTCGCCACGCACGGATCGTAAGCTTGCGCCAGTTTGTTTTTGTTCTCGTGCCGGCCTCAGTAAGTTTTTTCATCACAACAATGCCCCCCCAAGTCCTCCCGCGGGTAGGAGACCAGGGGCCTTCGGCCGAGGCCTAGCAAGTTTCAGCATGCCGACGACCTTAGACGGGTCGCGAAAATACAACGGTGTTGCTGGTGAGGTGGCTGTCTCTGTGTGTGTGTGTGTGGAGCGCCTGCTCACTGCATCTCGCTCGACCCTCAACAAATCTGCAACAACAAGAAACGATTTACAATGACGTGCTTATGTACGTAGGTGCCAGGCTGGGAAGCTTTGAACATCCTTGTAAAACCTAATCCCTGGAAGCCTAAATCGTTGTCAGGGCGCCGGTTTTCTTGCGAGGTGACCACAATTTGTCTGCTACATACCCCCCTTGAAACCGCCCTCCCTTAAGAGCCCTAGAATCAAGCCATCAGGAAACAACCCTGGTACACTGGAGCCTGGACCGAGCCGGCCGGCGATCCCATCTGGTGCTTCTTGCGTCCCATTCTGCATTAGTGGGGCTGAAAAAGTGTCGCTTTGTCTCAACTCAGCATCTGTCGGTGTAGGCTTGGCAAGGTTAGAAGCTTCTTTCCGTGCCACGGCACGGCCCATGAACTCATTCCAACAGCTCAAGCCCGAGTTGTTTGCCTTCTCTCCGGTGTTGCCGCGGCCCTTAAGACCTGCACCCGCAGACCCTGTGCCATGCAAGCGGCCAACCGCGCACCGAATCACACGAGGCTGTGGCTCGCCCGCGTGGGAAATGCCACCTACGAGTTGCGCGGCGGCACATGCGCATGTTCAGGCACTGACGGAGTGGGACCAAGGGCTGATCTAGGGCCAGTGTCACGAGGCTGGTGCATGACATGCTTGGGGCTTTCAGTGTTTTCCGGTGCTCATCAATGGCATCAATATCCACAAGCAAGGGGCTGATCACAGGGTGAGGCAATGCAGCCCGAAGAGCAACCGTCCCTGAACTCCCCGAAGCCCCAAAACCCTAAACCCTGAACAGCGCGAACCCCTCGCCCCCCTTAAGCCCCTCTAAGCCCCTCGAAGCCCCCAGCTCGCGAGGTTCCGCTTCTCTGAAGATTTCCAGCGTGCCGACATCATCCCAAAGGGCAACCTCGGGATCTTCTGCTGCTGCTGTTGCTCGGGAGTTTGATTTAGATCGGGTTTAAGAGAAAGGTTTTTTTTTTTTTTAAATCTAGGGTTCCTGAGACGAAAGGGTCGCAGAATGGGTTCAGCCAAGGGTTTGGGGGTTTGGGGATGCAATTCAGGCATTTGGAGCTTTCGAGGCTCGGGTCCGCCCATGAGCAGGCTGGGAAGGCTCGGGCGACTGTAGCGGAATATGACCTCCACAAGCAGGCTTGGGAGGCTCAATGCGATGACCTCAACAGGGGGGGGCTGTTGTGCGAAAGCATTGCGAGACCCTTCTGGCGGGCAGGCCGCGCTCTGGCAGGGACGTAGGTTATGGCTACGTTCAGGAGCTTGTCCTGCCAGGTTCACTTGCGATTGCAGGAAAGCCCAAACCTCAACCCCCGCTCTAAGCTTGTTCCGTCGGACCAGAAACCTTTCCCAGCACTGCAACTTAACATCCGAGGCAGTTGGATCTTAAGGGACAAGGCGGAAGTTGTGTTCGAAGTTTTTGCCCGGGCATGTGGACCTCTGCCCCAGAGCAAACCTCACGTCAGCCCTCCCTACTTCCGCCTCCACATCCCAGCATCCAAGGCTGTCCCTGTATCCCTCCATGGTTCGAAATTCCAAGCTGTGCCTGAGCTTGACTCTGAAGCCTTGTGGTGTTTTGACCTCATGATTTGGGTGTTGTTGATCTCAGCTCTTCCCTGACGCGTATGCTATCATAACAGGGCCAGACTATCAGTCAGAGTCTTGGTGTATATGCGTGTTGAACCAGCCTTTTTACCTTGATTGGGGGGCCGGGTTGGGGGGCCGCGAAGCAGCCGAACACCGCGTTGCACATGTACATCAGGAGCAGGTGTGTAGAACGCATCACCCATCATACAGGTCCGGGAGCAAGGCACCTGCCGTTCCGGGGCATGTGGGCAGCCCACGGCTAAGATCTATGCGGCAATAGGTGGGGCGACGGAGAAGGCCCCAGCAAATCCCCAGCAGGACAGCACGGATACAGATGTATATTATGGATTGGCCCAAGGCGGGGTCATATTTGTATGGGCACCATTGTGGCGCACAGAAATCCTGCTCAGGAACTTCACAAGGCGACAACGTCAACCGCCAATTCCGAAACCCGTCGCAACAAATACAAAGAAGGCCGAAGACGGCAGCAGCACGTGCCGACGGCGAGTGGCAAGAAAACTGGGCACGCTTGGAAAAAACGAAGCCTTCCTTGGGAGATGGTTGGTTGCGGAAGCTTGTCACGACTTGGACATGTGCTCCCGGATTGTCTGCCGTCTGAGGCCGAACCGTCAGGATCGAAAGCCCAGACACCCTATCACGTCCTACAGAACTTCGCGTAGAACCCTGCAAAGATGGTAAGCAACCCGAAAGCCCTCTGAACAAACACCATTCCCCCGAGGCCTGACGCGAAACTACATGGTCCAAGCCGACTCTTCTATCAAGGGCGACCATTGGGAACGCTTTCAAGGCGCGACTTGGGATGAGCCCAAACTGTGTTCGGCGTGAGCGTGTGAGGTTCAGCGTTCACTTGCCTAAACCCTAAACCCTAAACCCTGAACCTTAAACCCTAAACCCTAAACCCATGATCTGCCGGCTTCCGAGCCGCGGCGCTTCAGGAAACTGCTGCCAGACGCCGACTTTTTACTACGACATTTACACCGTCTACGACCGGGAGGGTGCCCTTGGACCTTTTCTTTGGGGTTCTGTGAATCCCGTTTTTAACCATAACACTCAAGCAAGCTCCGAAAGAGAGTCTCTTGGATCTTGTCCATCTTGAAAAAAAAAGATGGTGGCCGAGGCAAAGAGACGCGCTGGAGCCACCTGGCACGGGAGCAAGCTCCCGCACAGGTGATGATGACCATCTGAGTCGCGCAGGGACTGTAGGGCCGAAGTGTTAGGGTGCAAGTGGTTTGAGGGCTCCTTTCTTGGGCTTTCGGCTTTTCATGGTGTGTGCAAGTTTGGGTAGTTTGTGAACAGTTGGAGCTCCTCCATACCACCATTTAGAATTCTGGCGGGGAGCCGACCGTCAAGTCCGGGGAGGAGCGCTTTGGATGTCAAAGTCCACCTACCGCAGTCCATATCTTACCCATTTGCACCCCCTCCCCTTGTCCTTACTTGTGTAGGAGTGAGCTGCCCAGAATTGTGCACCCGCTTCCCCTGATGTGGGCTATCCAACTCGGACACGTCCTCCCTGCGCGCCAACCAGGGCCCCAAACAGGTCCCAGGTTGGAGCTTTTGAGCCTGGCCCAGCTTGTGGACTTTAAACAACTCTCAGCCCCCGAAGACCTTGCTTGGGCTTTGGGGTTTAGGGTTTCGGGTTTAGGGTTTAGGGTTTAGGGTTTGCGTAGTGTTTAGGGTTAGGGTTCAAGGTTTAGGGTTGGCAACAGGGATATCTTCGAGGCGGGGGCGAAGTCTCTTGGAAAAGGGTTTGGCAGTCCCCAAGCTCGGCGCTACAGGCATGCGGAGCCATGGAGTGCCCCAAAAGTTGGGCCAAGAAGACATCCTAGGTAGGCCCTTGGGATATGTCGTATTTTCCCTTACTGGGTTTTTATGAGGATCATATTCAGGAATATTTTCCTTTATTGGGTTTGAGGAGTATCATATGATTTGCTTTTGTTAAAAGGGGGCCATCCGAGCGTCGCCAGCATGGGCAAGGAAAAAGGGGCCTCTCAGCCATGGAGGCTCACCTGCTCCCCTGGCCGTCAGTTCCACTTATCTACTGTTTTTGCATCCTACATCTGCCCCGGCAAGTAGTCGTTAGTTCTTTGTCTTGGTTGAGTCAGATCCTAAAACCTGGAATGTTGCAGAAGTTTCCCGGCCCTTCGGTTCCCGCGTGCTCTGGGCTTCAGCCACGAGTCAACTGTTTATGGCCACCCCCCCCACCCCCCCCGCAATAGTAACAAAAAAAATGGAACCACCAAACTAATTTTCGGCCCCGGCCCCCCCCCCCCCGCCCGGCTCCTCTTCATTTCCTCTTGGCTACTCTTCCCTCTCCTCTTCCCTCTCCTCTTCCTCTTCGGTAATTAAGCTCAGGTAAGCTCAGATGAGCTCAGCTCAGGTAAGCTCCCGAAAAGCTTTTCATTATAGTGGGGGGGGGGGGCAGCCGAATCTTTGTCCCCTGCGCCACGCGCCCAAAACGACCAAAACCCTAACCCTATAACCCCTATAAACCCTATAAACCCTATAGACCCTATAGACCCTATAAACCCTATAAACCCTACAAACCCTACAAACCCTATAAACCCTATAAATGCTATAAACCCTAGAAACCCTAGAAACCCTAGAAAAACCCTAGAAAACCCCTATAAACCCTATAAACCCTGTAAACCCTATAAACCCTATAAACCCTTGTGTGTGCCCCGCCTGGGCTCCCAGCATCTGGGCTCTCTGAAAGCACCCGAGCTCCGAAGGGACCCCCAGGTCGACATGGAGCACACGATTGCTATGTGGGTGGCTGTCAACAAATATGATCCCTTTTTGGGGTACCCTAATATATTCGGTCTGAGAACCTGGTGCTTCCTTCACCCGACTTCCGAGGCCAACTTCGCCATGTGCTTGGGGAGTCGGAGGTGCCCACTGTTCTGACCACACAGCTGCTCAAAGCTCCGAGAGTACCCCCCCCCCCCCAAGTTTAGGGATGTAGGTTCTGTAAGAACAGCACGAGTAGTTGAATCGGATTTATATGGAGTTTCGGGTGGAGGGTTTAGGATGTAGGGTTTACAGGGTTTAGGGTTCAGGGCGGAGAATGGGCTGTGACGAGTAGTGTCAGGGTGTTGAAGGCCTATCCTTTCCAACAGTCCTAAAGTATCCTTTTCAGCCCCGAAAAGCCGAGGCAAAGGCTGAGAAGCTTCTTTTGGTTGCTGTAAAACACCCAAATGAAGCCAAGCAGAAGGCACAGAAGGCAACGAACACCCTAAACCTGAAACCCTAAACCCAACGCCGAGTAAAGCCCAAACCCTGAACCCAAAGGCAAAGTAGCTCTGTAGCACTCCAGGGTAGACAGCATCTAATACATTTAGGGTGTCTTTAACGTTAAAACAAACCCTAAACCCTAAACAGGTACTTTCACGTCAAAAAACCCTAAGGGTAGACAGCATCTGATGCAACAGTTCTGACCGAAGCCTTTCTCGGGCATCTGGAGGCTGTTTCGAGCTGGCCTTCAGGAAGTTTGAGGCGTAGAGATACTTAACATATTTAGGGCTTTGTCTAGATACCTTATTATAACTAGATGAATACATACATAGATCAATAGAACAAAGAATCTATGTGTTTCTACCTGGGTATGTTTGGTTGTCTTTCTTGTGGAGAGCGCAAGCAGAGCTGGCCATGGCGGTGGAAGAGGACGCCCACTACCTGGCTGCCGCCTTGGCGACGGCCTTCCTGGTGCTGCACTTCAGCGTCGTGGGGACGCTTTGTCTGCTTTTTGGAGTTTCAGGGGGGGTGGTGGTGGTGCTGTGGTGCATCGTGGAGCGATGGTGCAGTCACATTCCCGTCTAAGGCAGTAGCACAGCGCGGGTTCAAAAAAGGGGGGGTGGTGGAGGGTTAGGGGTTTAGGGTTTGGGGTTTAGGGTTAGGATTTAGGGTTTAGGGGGGTTGGGGTTAAGTGTTTAGGGCTTCAGCGTTCGGGGAGGCTCCGAAAAACGATGTCTGTCACGGGGCACCCAAGCGAGCCCTTAGGGTTTTTAGGAAGGCTTCGATGCCGTTTTTTGTTTGTTCACGACGCGCTCCCTGTTAGTTTAACACCCTCTCAACCAAACCCCAGACCCGATACCCTAATCCCTACAACCCAAACCCGAAGCCCTAAACCCTACACCTTAAGCCCTAAACCCCAAACCAAGGAAAAGCCTAAACCCACAACCCCTTCACCACAGAAGGCCCTGCGACCCTTTTGGATTGGAGGCAAGACTTCAGCTCCTTCCTGCAGTGGCTGCTGTGGCCGGGCGAGAAGGCGGAGAAGGACATCTGGGCTGACAGGCTCCAGAGGGATGGGGGGGGCAGGGGTTGGGGGGTTTCGGGTCTAGGGTTTAGGGTTTAGGGTTTAGGGTCTAGGGTTTAGGGTTTAGGGTTTAAGGTCTAGGGTTTAGGGTTTAGGGTGCAGGGTTTAGGGTTTAAGGTGGGTTTATGTTTCGTCACGAGGTCTCAAGCTGTGAGGGATAGGACTTTAAGGTATCCGGATCACGCACCAACCGATGACTTCTCCAAAAACCCTTGGTTCTTAGAAGAGAACTTTGGGGAATTTAAGGGTATATGTATACATATATGTCTATCTATAGGGGCAGGGGGGTATAGGGTACCTCATCCCCTCCTCCTCGGCTGGCGACTGCGTGGATCCGGATAACCTTACAGTCCTATCCCTCACAGCTTGAGGTGACGAAACCTGAACCCTAAACTTGGCCCCATTCGGGCCTAAACCCTAAACCCTAAACCCTAAACCCTAAACCCTAAACCCTAAACCCTAAACCCTAAACCCTAAACCCTAAACCCTAAACCCTAAACCCTAAACCCGAAGCCCTAATTCTAGCAAACCAGGCTGGAGACGGCTTTGGCAGAGTCCAGGAAGGCCAACTTCTTTCAGTTCGCGCGTTTCGCCTCCTTTGCCGGAGCCTTTGGGCTACTTGGACGTTGGGACTGAGGGTTTAGGGTTAGGGTTTAGGGTTTAGGTTTTAGGGTTTAGTGCTAATGACTTGAACTTTGGGACTTAAGGCTTGACAGTTTGTGCAGGCGGCCTCTGGCAGAGCGCAGCTAAGGCTGGCGTACTTCGTCTATGCATACTACACGAACCCTCGCCCGAGCGAACTGAGCTTCACGCTGGGAACCTTGATCATGTGGGCCGTCCAACACTCTTGGGCTTCAGGGCCCAAACCCTAAACCCTAAACCCTAAACCCTAAACCCTAAACCCTAAACCCTAAACCCTAAACCCTAAACCCTAAACCCTAAACCCTAAACCCTAAACCCTAAACCCTAAACCCCAAACCCCAAACCCTAAACCCTAAACCCCTAGACCCTGCAAAGGGAATCCTGAATCGTTTGCACACCTGCCAAGCGCACCTTTGCAGGTACGTCCAACTGACGGCGATCTCCACTCGCATGGTGCAGCTCACGGTCGAAACTAGTTCATGGTTGGGAGAGTTTTTGCAAGTTTAACTTTCTGCTCCTTATCGAGTTTAAGTACCCTTAAGAATGCAAGATGTTACCCAAACTATGACAAAGGAAAGGGCCCAGTTCTGCTGCAACTGCTTCTATTTCTTCCTGGCGCTCTGCTACTTGGAGCTGCCCTTCATTGAGGAGGCCTACATTGATGCGAATGCCTTCAGCATCAACTTGAACCCTTCCCATGATTACACTGCTTTTCCCTTTTTTCTCTTTTTTAGGAAGCCTAGAGGCCCTGGACGGTGAAAGCCAGACTTGAGCCACTTTTTTTGTTTCACTCTCTCTCTCTCTCTCCATACAAATCTTCGAGATGTCAGCTGGGGGCTTTTTGAAGCAAACGCCTCGACGAACCCAGGACAGCCTGCCGATTCATCATTGCGGCACTGACGATCAACACCAGGCAAAGCCTTGCAAACTGCAATGCCTGCAATGGGTTGCTTCCTTAAATCTAAGTCACCAGAACTCTTGTTCCTTGTTATGGGAGCTTCATCTAAGTCCTTTAGCCGCATTCCGGTAGACCCAATGGGGCTGCTTGCTACATGGCTTCTAGAAGTCCTGTGACTTTCTGGATGCCTTCTTTCCGCGATGCTGCCCTCATGTTTCCATCAACGCTTTGTAAGTCAGCGCAGGCTATGCATTTTGGGCGATGTGCAAAGCGCATGAGCAGATGGTCGTGTGTGCGCATGCGTGCTCCCTTCTTTTGAACATGTGGTAT